GACTTCCCTAATTTTCTTTACTTTTTCCCTGGAAATCAAAATAGGACTCAGATAAATCTGTTTATCTTCTGTTTATAATCTAATTATTTTTATTTCTCCTCTGACAACCTTCCTTTGCAAAACTCTTTCTTCATCTGAACTGCTTTTTTCTAATTCCAGTTTATGTCCTTGATTCTCTGTTAGGTTTAAACACCAAACATTTTATGCAGTAACCTGTACAAAGGAAGACACAGAGAATTTTAGTATGATTTACTTGCAAGGAGAGTGATCAGAGACTGTTCAGTTACAATTCTCCAAACCACTCTGAAAAAGTCTCCGCTCTACCAAGCTTTTTATTAAGGAAACGCCCTGGCTACAATGTGGTTCCGACTGCTAAGGGGAGGGGGAAGGGTGAAGCCAGTCGGAACCAGAAGGGAGGGGGTGAAACCCAGTCGGTACCAGAAGTTCTGCATCACATCATACAATATCATGAGATAAGAGCTTTCACTCCTTTCTCCGGTGTTAGTACGTGCAGTTCCCCGTGTTCTCTCCTTCAATCAGCACTCCTTCTGCACAGACTTAAAACATTAGTACAGAACAAACAAGTAAAATACTTCAACACTCTTTATGATATAAGTGAAATAAGGATAACAAAATGTGTGAGCATAATAATATGATCTCAGTGTGTAAGCGTAATAATATGATTAAAGTAATATGATTAAAAGTAGAATAACTTGTACAATTAATCCAACATTTCCCCCCTGTTTATTCACTTTAAGCTATTTATTTTATCATTCAGTAGTTACTCCTTTTCAGATTTTCAACTATGAAATCATGTTTTAGCTGTAAAGGGTACACTCAGAGGTACTTTAAACTGGTGGGTTACTGGTAATATCATTGGAATTAGGATAAAAGTCAGGAAAATGCAAAGAGATTTCATCCTCTTCGTTGTCTTCATCATCAGATGGGTATTTTTCAGTGGGCATGAGGGCATACATTTCTGCTTTCATGGGTTGTATTGCTGTGGTAATCAGTCTATTTAGCAGCGCTCTAATACATGGAATACAACAACATCCACATAAGGTCAAGATGGCGGCAAATACAGCTATAGACATTAAAATAGAAAGCACCAATTGTTTGTATTTACCAAAAATGTCTCCAAATCCATCCCACATTTTTGTGTCAACTCCAGAATGGTCTTTCATTTTGCTGTTAAGAGAGCGAAGGCCTTCAAGGGCCTTTGTGAGGCTGCCATCTGCAGCGGTGTTGTTGGGAATAAAGGTGCAACACTGATCTCCAAAAATAGAGCACACACCACCTTTTTCAGCTAACAACATGTCAACAGCAATACGGTTCTGGAAAGCCATCAGGGAGGTAGCTGACAATTGTTCATGGACGGCGGAGAAGCCTTGTTCTGTTTTATTTCCCAGCCTCTGGACGTTATAATGGATGTAGTTGATTCTGTCTACATTTTTATTTAGAGTACACCACCAGCATAAAAAAGATTCAAATCCTGCAGAAACTTGATTGGCTAGTTTATACTCATCAGGAACACCTCTGGGTACACCAATGCTATCAATATAAGTAGGGTCATCTCCACTCCATGCATTTTCAGATGCCCTCCTCCTTCTAGTATGCTCTGTGTGAGGTAAAATGCTGTTTGCAGTCGTTAACAATTCATCCGTTGTGAGTGATGTAACAGAAACAGGTAAAATCAAAGTGACAGCAGCACATAATCCAGTGGTGTTACATGGAAGTTTGTCAAACAATTTGTCATCTCCACACCACCACCAGATGTCGCTGCGGGATTGAGGTTTAAAAAAGGTGGATACCAGTAAAATACTTGCACATTGTGTTTCATTTAGTGTGCCTAGTTTCGGGCCCGCTCCGGTCCTGTTTACACAGGTGAAATTTGCCACAGCTACTTTTTTCAAAAAGATTGGTTTCTTTTTCTCAGCTGTGGTCAGGGGATAGATCTTATCCCAATAGGTGCAATTATCAGATGGGGCCGTATAATTCATTATATTTAGAAGACATTGAGAAGTTATGGTAGCAGGAACCACACGTAACAGCGGTCTAGCTCCCATACACACAAGACAATCATTAGACACTGTTTTAGCTGCTTGTTCTGCCATTAAAAGCCAGTTGTTTGTTTGCCCAGAGATTCCAGTGATGACTTGAAACAATTCATCTGTTTTAAGCGGACCATTAATATTTTGAATTTTTATCTGTTCACCTTGGGCAGAAGTAAGAATACCTTGTATCTCATCTCCTTCTTGTGTACGGTAATATTTACGGGGCACAAATACAAAGGCCAACATGGATCGGTTCCACTAGACCGTGCATTTAGAAATGAGGAAGAACAGCCTTCCTTCTCAAGGGGTTCTGCTGTGGAGTTTATTGTCAGAGTGAAAACTTTGGAGGCATGGTTAACAGTGAACCCTGATATTCTACTCATCCATTTCTTAGCTAAAGGTGTCCATCCATATGATCCCTTTTTCCACTGTCCAGTGGTTCTAAATACGTCTCCCCAACCATTATGAGTTCTTTGAACTACGCGAGGAAATAGGTAGAAATCAAAACCGTGCCAATTTCCCGGGTCATGTTTAAATCTTTGCGAGAATGTTTGAAAAGGAATAGTCACCAAACTGATTACTCTAGTAGAGTTATAGCAGAGATAGACGTCCCTTTTACAAATAGCTGGATCATGAGGGCAACAAGAATCCTTGCTCTGAGCGAGAGCTAAAAACAAAACTAATATGAATAATCGCAACATCATCTAGGTTCAAACTTCAAAAAGTGTTCTATGGATAATCTTTTTACACAATGGTCTACTTCCTATGACCTCTCGGCAGAGTTGTTGAACCTTCACCAGTTTGAGATGGTTGTATGCTAAAAAATACAACCCCCTTTGTACGATGGACTTCCTCTGGAGGTCGGTGAAGGAGACCAAATGTGTATTCTATAACAGGTACCACAGTAGAATTACTAGAGTGCTAAGCAGTACGGTCAGGTTCCACAGAATAATTAAGAAAGTGATTTTACTTATTACTCATCTGATCTAACTATCACTTTCTTGCAATCCATTTAGAAAACAAATCTATTATAACCAAACAGAATTGAAAGGATAAATAGGTTTAGGGAAAGAACCTTTTTTAGGTCTTAGACATGCTTTACAAAAGTTTTTTTTGCATAAAATATAAATCCATATGCTATATAATGATGCTCAATGCTCAATCAATCCTACAATCCCCCCGTTTGAGACATGAGTAAAATCATGACTCAATATAGCAGCTCATTCAAAGAATTTTTTATTTGGAAGGATTGGTTTATGTTCTAGTCACATATAGGTGCCATTATGGATTTTAAGATAGTTTGGCTGATTAACATGTTTGTTTTGTTGAATGTCATCCCCATTTCACATGTTTTTAATAAGAAATGTTATGTTTAATAGAATGTTACGATGAAATTAGGACAGCAACTAACAATTATTTCGTAAATCGATCAGTCTATCGTTAATTCTTTCGATTAATTGGTTAGCCAAAAGTTCTGTAAAGAAGATTACTAATGACATTAAACCAGGTGAAACCAAAACATCTCCTCCTGAAGAGCTCCGGACGGAAAGTATTGACAGACAAAAACATTTTATAATCGTATTTGCAAAATGTTTATAAATTTATTTTACAGTTTTGGTATGATTACTGATCCAAGTGGGTTACTCTGTCGGGGAAAGCCAGATTTGACATGTATATTATGTGTTAGAGTCTCTATACTCCATTTAATGATGAATCACTAAATTTTTTTACGAATATGCAAATAAACAATGAATATGATTCATGTTTTCAGCCACAGATAAAATACATTGAGATTGGCAACACAGAGTAACTACAGCCCAGATGTTCAACTTTCATAGTGAAGTTATTATTTTTAATGAAGCATAGTAGGTAAAAATATAAGAGTGGGGTTTAACTCTGCACGATTCTATATATTCAGAAGAAAGTACTGTATTTACCGTCTGTCTCAGTTGTTCAAATAAAATCATTTACAAAGTGGAAAACAGTCCTAATTCCACATTCATCAGAGCCGGTGATACTCCAACATTGATAAACAGCATCTAGTTAGTGTAGTGCTTAAAAATGTTTATTAATGTAGCAAAATGCTCCTTTTCTCTTTAAACAATGAATTCCTCTCATCAGTACTGATGCTCATATCAAGCATAAAAAAAGAAAGGCATGCATAATGCATAGTACCAATGACACCAGACCAATAGTGTCCCTACCAAAGTTCAAATCAAACCTACGCCCTCGGGTGCCATCCTTCATTGCAGCGCCCCCTTTTTTTTTATTTATTTATTATTTATCCAATTAAGTTTTTCATAGTCTTTATCAGGACCTGGAGAGTCTTTGTGCCACATGGTAATATGTAGGTCATTCGGGTCCATGGACTGCTGTACAATTCGAACAGACTGTCTTCCCTCCTGAAGCAGCGCTTCTCCGATGTTCAAAGGAGGTTTGTTGGGAAAGTCCAGAGTATAATGGTAATGTGGGATGCCCAGCCTCTATCTAAACAAAGCATAGAGCATCCCTGCCTAAGAGGTTAACTGGACATTCAGGTAAAGTCAGTACAGACAGCCGGCAGGAGAGTCCTTCAGGGTCTCTCAACCACACAAGCTGGATCTCCTGCACAGCCTTTAAATGACCTTGAGCTAATCGGACTATGACAGTCTCAGGTCCTTGGCCAGCACCTGGAATTTGTTGTTTAACAGTTGTTCTGCATGCACCACTGTCACACAGGAAAACTGTTGGGGTGCTATTCACATGTATAGTTAATACAACTAATCCTTATTTGTGCATATTAATTATGTTTTTGTTTTAAATGCTTTGGCTAAAATGCCATCAGAAGGCTGATAAATAGAGAGGAAAAGAACAAGAACAGAGGGACTAAACCTAGAACAAATAATGAATGTCTATTCTATTAACATTTCTCTATCTGTAGAATGGGACTGTTTTATAGGTTTTCTTGTCAGGGGGGGGCCCCCTGCCCATCCATGCCCAGGGCCCCAAATTTCCTAAATCCGCCCCTGCCTATAGACCATCATGACAGGAAAAAATGGATTTTCAGCTGGCCCCTGACCCGCCAAAGGATTTGGCAGCTCAATTAAAGGAAGCACTCAATTTCAGGTTTGGGTTCAGGGGCTGGCTGTGGGGAGATTAAGCCTCCCCCCATATCTTTTGATCAAGCCCCCACAGGTCCCCCAGAACGGGTAACCCTTGTGGAGGTGCTGGGCATAGGAGAATAAGCCGGTAGATTCTCAACTTTAGGAGCTGGCAAGACTGGGGCTGAAGCAGAAGCAGCAGCAGCACCAAGTTCATTTGGGTCTTGCTGTAAAGCTGCTTGTGCTTGCTGTAATAATGCTGAATATGGACCTACAGGTAAATCATCTTTACGATGGGTATGTGCAAGGGTATGGGTTCTTTTATTGTGGTTCTGCAGGCTCCTGTATCACACAAAATTTAACAGGAGTGCCCTGGACCATCAGAACTATTTCTGGTCTATAACATTTCTTTAAAAAAAATCTTCTAGGTTTAAGACATCCATATTTTCACCCTCTATCTCTCTAATAGAAAATGGTTGCTCATCTAGTCATGCTGAGCTTCCTGCTTTTGTGGTTTACTTTGACAGTGTCTAGCTATGTGGCCTTTTTTTCCACATGACCAACACGCTCTGGAATTATCAGTTGAGCGTGATCCAAAACCTCTTCCCCTTACACGGCCTCGGCCCCTACCTCTGGACTGCTGATAAAACACAGTGTCCTCTTCCTCCTGATAAAACACAGTGGATTCTTTATTGTGATTCTTTTTACTTTTTATGACTTTCTCTGCATGCAGGGCGTGATTTATATACTTTTGGAGTGTTGCACCACTCATCTCTATGTGGTGACGATTTACCCATTCTTGAATTATACATTCTTCCACATCCTTCTTTGGAGAGGGAATTCCTTCTACTGCTTTTCTAACATCTTCCTGTGTCCAGGTTCTGTATACCATTACTGTGGCTGGTTGTTGGGCATTCCCCTCAACCTGGCCTGCTAAGGGGTTTGGTAATTCTATTAAAGGAAGCGTGAGGACTGCTCCTTCACCTTCCAGGTTCACAGGCATCACTCGGGGTGTCCGTGGAGACAGAATGTCATTAAATGTTGTCGCTAAAGTTTTTGACCAATCCCCTACAGAACCTTTGGACCTAGTAATATATCCCTGGGAGGTATCAGCTTGTGGAGGGGCTATTTTCAATGGTGCTTCTACATGTTGTGGGGGAGTATATCGTGGAGGATCCCCCGTGGGTGAGAGAGCTGAGGGATCGGCTGCAGCGGCAGCACCTCCCATTGGTGGGAGATTATGTATTTGATGTATCAGGTTAGAATAGGGCCCTGCGTACTCATCATCCTCCTTTCTATGAAACATAACTGATCTTTCCTTTTCCTTTTTTCTTTCTTCACTTTCCCTTTCTTCCTCTTCTTTCTCTTTTCCTTGTCTCTCCCCCCTCTCTCTCTTAGCTCTGCGCTCTCCCTCTTCTCTCTGTCCTGCCAATTTCATCCAGACCATGGTTTGCATGTAACCTTCTTTTGCCATCAAAGTGTCTTTATTTTTGCTCTTTGTTTTTATTTTTTGTTGCAATTCTTTAATGTTTGCGGTGCTCAATTTGCCTATTAAAACCGTAGTTTTTTATCCAGTGACACAATGGCTCTACTGCCAATGGGTCATCATTTTCGACTGCTTTCCAATCTTTGCACTGGAGTTTCTCTAATAACTTCTGTTTTTCTTTACTTTGCCCTTTTCCCATTTTGAACTAAATTTGGGCCCAGTGGGTTTTCAACACCTGTCGTGTTCTAAACACTGGGGCTTCAGACAAGATGGTGATCAACTACTTTTTGTGGTAAAACTCACTTCAACCTTTACAGGTGGAGTTTTCTTGTCTACAAACATCCACAAAAGCTCACCATTTAACCCTTGTCTTTTTGGTATGAAATACAGATATCTAGTGATATCTATATTTCCTTTCACACACACACACACTCACACACACACTGCGCAGTTAACTTTTACTTTATTTTAAACACAGAGGACGCCGCCATCCTACGCAGAATTTAACTAGTTTACAACTCGGGGAGCCTGCCCTTACAAACTAGGGGAGCCTGCCCTCCCGCGGACTTTAACTGTTTTAAAATTTCTGTTTTACCTGATAGAGTCTAGAATTGTCAGGGTTTTAGTACAAAAGGGGAATCTCGTGACCCCACGCTGAGAGGACTTCAAAAGGGGAATCTCGTGACCCCACGCCCTTCACTTCTATCTTTTTTTTTTTTTTTTTCATATTATTATATTTTTATAAATTTTTTATATTTTTTATATATTTTTCTTCCAATAATTCACTCACTCCTTATTAAAAGAAAAACTACTCACAATTCTCTGCGTCCTCGAAATGCTTCAACCGTCGGACCCCAGCTTGTAAGGGAGAGACCAGTCCCGTAAAGGGTCTCTTTGCTGCGGCCGCAGGCTTATCTGGGTCTCACTTACCTGCTGGGGGTCGTCGGGTATCTTGCAATCCGGCTCGAAGGACCAATTAATGTTAGGTTTAAACACCAAACATTTTATGCAGTAACCTGTACAAAGGAAGACACAGAGAATTTTAGTATGATTTACTTGCAAGGAGAGTGATCAGAGACTGTTCAGTTACAATTCTCCAAACCACTCTGAAACAGCTCCGCTCTCACAAGCTTTTTATTAAGGAAACGCCCTGGCTACAATGTGGTTCCGACTGCTAAGGGGAGGGGGAAGGGTGAAGCCAGTCGGAACCAGAAGGGAGGGGGTGAAACCCAGTCGGTACCAGAAGTTCTGCATCACATCATACAATATCATGAGATAAGAGCTTTCACTCCTTTCTCCGGTGTTAGTACGTGCAGTTCCCCGTGTTCTCTCCTTGAACCGGCTGACCTTCAGCAGCCAGCTCTCACAATCAGCACTCCTTCTGCACAGACTTAAAACATTAGTACAGAACAAACAAGTAAAATACTTCAACACTCTTTATGATATAAGTGAAATAAGGATAACAAAATGTGTGAGCATAATAATATGATCTCAGTGTGTAAGCGTAATAATATGATTAAAGTAATATGATTAAAAGTAGAATAACTTGTACAATTAATCCAACATTCTCAAACAACCTTTCTCTCCTTTTACTTCCTCTATCTCCCTCTTTCACATTTTAAATTGTTAACCAGCCTTTATCATCCTCATCACTTGCAATTTTGTTCCATCCAGTAACCTGTAAGGCAAAAAACGTTTTTACCAACTGTCTACTGGCTCTCCTCTGTCGAGCTCTCCAAGCATTCATAAAAAATTCTGCTTTCGTCCACATGCCCATTTACAAATCTCCGCCCACATCTAGTTGACCCATTCCTCTAAAAACTAAAAACCAAACAACAGGGACTTGCACAGCTAGACACTAGGTAGTGCTCTGGACAAAAAAAGTGCACTCCTAAAAGTGTTTTTTTTTTTTTTTTTTTTTTTACTTTTTTATTCCATGGCCATCAATACCATTTATGAATTTAAAAGTGTTTTAAACCCAGAGTCTGGATTTTTGCCGCTTTTATCGACGAGACATGTGGCCCCCCCTCAATAGAGGCTTGCTGTGGTGGAGGGCCAGCAAACCGTCTAGGTAACTAAACAAGCATATTAACCTCCTTCAGCAACCGGTTAGTTCATAACATAACATCTTTATTGGCCTCTACAAGGCACCAATGAACAGTTTCAAATGCAACACTTTCATTAAATTAGAAAAAATAGATGTAATTGTTAATTTGCTGTAATGGTCCCTCTCAGAGACTCCCTGAAGACATCTATTTCACTGTTTTTATGACAACTACAGCACAAAAATGACCTTTTGTCTGTTACACATTTCATTTCAAAGCAAACATAAGGCCCAATGATCACAATCCGTAAAAATAACTTTAATAAAGTGCTATCCAGTTAAAGTGTGGCATGTAGATAAAGCTGCATTTTCAATTTCTGTTTTGATCTTGGACTGCAAGAAATCAGCTGAAATCAGGGAAACATGAGGATCTATCTGTGGAACAAGAGTTTTAACCTTAAATAAGATTATTACATATTATGCACTTGAAATGCGATAATAGAGTACTGTAGGTTTTTTCATATTTTAAATGTAAATCTTAGATCATCTGCAAACTGTCATATATACTCAATAAACTTTTCTGCAATCTTTGGCTTTATATTAATGGTTTTGAAATTATTTATTTAGGGGACACCAATGTTGTCATTATCTTGGCACTGATCACTGGCTTAATTATTTGTTCCATTCACCTGTCTAACTCTGCCCATTTTCTCATTACTCCTCATGTGATCCACCTGCTCCTGCCTCTATTTAATGTGCTTGCATCTTGACATCAGTGCCAGAATAATCTCGTTCTCTCTAGCCAGTGGTGAGAGGGTTTTTTTTTCAAAGTACCTGAGTGTTTCTCATGACCTGATCCAAACCTGTTCTGCCTTTAAACCACTGAGCCTGTCTGTTCCCATCTGAACGGTTCGTGTGAACTGTCTTTGGACTCCTGGACCTCTGAACCAGCCTGTTCCTGTTCTGATCTGTTTGCCTGATCTGTCTCTGTACCCCTGCTTGTTCTTTGGGGCTGCAGCACCTGGGACACTCTGGGCGGCGCCCTGCTGCATGTTGTTGGCAGCCTTAGACGCCCTAGTCACTGCTACTGCAGAACCGCAGATCCTTCATTTTTAAATAAACACTTTTTTAATAATCCCACTGTCTGATTTTTGCTGAATACTGGGTGCCTCTGTTCACCACCATGACAGGCACCGCAAACCTTAAGGTCACAGCTAGAAGCAGCTATAGAAACACTTGACTCTACTTTAGACAGATTAGAAAACTGCAACAAATTGGGTTAATTATATCGCATATAATTCAGTGTTAATATCTGAAGCTGCTGGACACTAAAGACATCCAGTTCTAAACTAAGCAAAGCAGCCCCTAACATCACACCACCACACTTGACTGTCAGAATTATAACATCTTTATTATAAATATGGACCCATAATGAAATTGGGACAATTTGTTAAAAATGCATACAAATAAAACACAGAAGAAAATAAAACATATTTGAGGTAAGAGAAATAAAACACATCAGGAGTAGAAGTGGCTCACTTATAGCAACCAAAAAGCATCCCTAAAGAGAAGTATAACATATATACTGTACATGGGGATGTAGCATTATGTATTTACATAAAATGTAGCTCATTTTTACCGGAGCCAATGAATGGACATTGCTCATGAAAATAATATCTTAGGTAGCTGATTGGTTGTCATGACGCAGCAACCAATCAGGAACAGGGGTTAGCTGAATCTTTTTTCGGTTAAAATGAAATACTGGCAAAATAAGGTTAAAGGTCGAAATAAGCAGTGCTCTCAACATGGCTTTAAAAAAAAGCCGTTACCAATCATAGGTGCTTTCTTCGTGCGTAGATTTACAAGGAGGTATTGCCTAATCAGACAGTCATACAGCTTAATTAACCAAAGTCAATTCTTGCTTCATTGCTTCCTGGGCTTTTCCAGAAATTCATGGCACCTCAAAACTGATTCTAAAGTTGTGCATAAAGAGCAATTTAGCAGCAGTCCTTGACGTTAAGTTTCACCTGTGCTTTTATTGTTAAACACCTACAGCGAGACCTTAACAGGAAAAGCAATGGGGTTGCCAGTGGTAACAGCAGGTCCAAACTGAAGGGTCTGGGAGGCTGGTGATTTTACTAAATATTAAACAATCATTCCAGCCACTAAATAAGGTGAAAATGCCCACGGTTATATTCAATACCTGCACAGGAATGACATGCTACGTTATGCAATAGCTTTATATCCTGAAAAAAGCTCAGCACTAGTGCTTGCTGGTATGGCAATGTTAATTTGCTGTAATGATAACATCTTAAAACCAAATCAACATAAACGACAATTCAACCTGCACAAATCAAGTAGCACTGAAAATAATAGATAATATTTTGTGCTATTCGGATCTTAATGGATTAGATTATCTCTGAATGACCTAATAAAATAATCCTTTCCAAAGGGTCCTACATGAGCAAGGCCTTTATCATGTGTGATTTCTACTGTGATGAAATAAAGATTTCCTATCACTAAACTCTTGTCCACACACCAGACAGGAGAAGGAGACGGGTCTCTGACGTGTGTGAGTTCTAATATGACGAGTCAAACCAAAACTCTGAATAAAACGTTTTCCACAAACTGAACATGAGTAAGACTTCTCACCTGTATGGATTTTTATGTGCCTGGACAAAGTATCTTTCAGAGAAAACCTTTTTCCACAAGTCAGACATTGGAAAGGTTTTTCACCTGTATGGACTCTAATGTGTCTAAGCATACTTCTTTTTTCAGAAAACTTTCTTCCACAAGTCAAACATGAAAAAGGCTTCTCACCTGTGTGAGTTTTCATATGGTCCGTCAAAGTCCCATAAACAGCAGATTTTCCACATATCTTACAAGACAGCATAATCTTATTTGTGTTCTGCTGTCGTTTTAAACTTGGACTTTGTACATCATCACTCTGACCTCTGATTTTCTGATGCCTATTATTATTTAGTGTTTCTGTCCTTGATTTTGTGTCATAATGATCTATCTCTTCCTGACTTTGGTTATCAGAATCAGAAGATGTTTGGACAAGGAGGTGGTCCACATCTGGGTCTGGTTCCCTGTGGAATCTTTCCTCATAAGTAGGAATTTCCATAAAAGTATTCATCATCTGCTTCATTTCAAGCTGCTCTTCCTCTAGACCGATACACAATTCCTCCTGTTCACCCTTTATTTGTAGGGGATGCTGTTGTTCCTGTTCATTTTTAATAGGATAAAGTTCTTGTTCATCTCGTTTCTCTTGCATCTGTTCAGGTTCAAGGTCTTCAAGGCTCTCCATCGTCTGGCACGGTTCTGGTTCCTCTCGATGATTGTAGATCTGTTGCTCATTTAAATTCTCCCGGTTATTCCGGAGATGAGGCTGTGGGAGGTCTAAACAGACACAGAGAAAAAATAATATATAAGAGATGACAGTAGCTATAGCAGGAACAAGGGAGCCATTGAAGTTTTCTTAGGATGGGCTGCACACTTATAGTGTAACAAAAATGTATATATAATTTTTCAATAAAATGTTCTTTATTTGTTCATGACTAGTTCCTGGCCTTGGTGGTGGGTTTATGAATGCCAATATAAATAACATGCAAGAGTTGTGAAGAATTTTTACAACACTGAAGCCAAAGGTGTCGAGTTAGGTACCATCTAATAGAGAAAGACTTAGTCTACGGTCACACAGCGCCCTGAAGTGACCCAAATACAAACAATCTGAACAACACAGATCCAATTTTTTTCCAATGCGACCAACATCACTTGGATATGTGGTCCTCAATCCGATACGTATCTGATCTTTTCAAATGCGACCTGTGAGTCAAAGGCCAGGTCGCATTCATTCGACCTGTACGCCCTTAATACTCAAAAAAAGGTCACTATTCTGTGTCTTGCTACGCAGAGGCAGTAGGAAACACAATTAACCATGGCGGACGATAATGCGGAGAGCAGCCTTTTTTTCTACCATCTAAATAAGATTGTGATGTTAATGCACTAGTTAAGGTTGGGAAAGATTGCTAGATGTGCTCCAGCACTACCATCCATGTTTACTTCCGTTAACACAGGACACGCTCGAATGTGATGTCATTGCACCCTCTACTGCATATGTGGGACACTTGAGTTGTATGAATGCAGTTCACACAGATAGACCGATACACAATTACTCCTGTTCACCTTTTATTTGTAGAGGATGCTGTTGTTCTTGTTCCTCTTTAATATGACAAAGTTCTTGTTTCTCTCTCTCTAGATCTTCAAGGCTCTCCATCATTTGGCACGGTTCTGGTTCCTCTTCATGTAAACTAGAGTTCTTCTCCTGATTGTCGATCTGCTGATCACTTAAATCCTCCTGGTTATTCCACAGATAATGCGGTGGGAGGTCTAAACAGATAAAGAGAAAAATAAAAACAGAATGTGACATAACAACAGAGATTACACTGTTTTTTTAATTACCTAAATATGAAATTGACTCTTCAGATTTTCAGATAAACACTCACAGTTCCAAGTATAAAAATGTAAATCCAGTAGCCAACTATATGTTCAGCTTTTTACAGTACAGTTCAGTGCTCAATTAAAAAGCCACATGCTATTTTCTGCTTTATATGTGAGGTAGCAATGCAACTTTATTGCTTCCTTACATTCCTTTGTCTGCCATGGTACCATTTTCTTATCATTTTTACACCGTACTCTCTTTATAGAATTATCTGCTGCTTCTATGATTATCTTACAAATTTTTAAATTCACATCATTTATATCCATTCTCATATGTACTTGTCCTAAGTTTATTTCACTAAAGTATCTAAATGTAATCCAGCCTGCCTTATTGAAATTCATTTTTATTGACTTTTATATTCTTAATACCGTAATATAATATAATTTAATATTATATAATTCAACTTTATGAATCTCACACTGGAGAAATTAATCTCTGCATTTAACCCATCCCCTTGGGGGGCAGTGGGCTGCCATTGTGTGGCACCTGGAGAGCAGTGTGGGGTTAAGGGTCTTGCTCAGGGACCCAGAGTGGCAGTCTGTGGGAATTGAACCGGTTACTTGCAACCTTCTCAGAGCACAAGCGTACCGCTTTTTCATTAATGAATCACTCACATATACCAGCGAAGATATTTGAGACAATTATTAAATCAATAACTGATTATATCTTTGTTCTCAGACTAATTCTTCTTCCCCTCCCATCATTAATACATACAAGGTTTTTCATTTCCATTAATTCTTCTATAGATTTTTATCATTACTTTCCCTTCCAAATATTCCTTTAGCTCTTCCCTTATTTCAATTGACAATGTTTTACATGGAACATACCAATTAATTATTTTAAAATGTTCTTTTTGTTTCAATGTCTCAATTACTATATATTCAAGTTAATCCCATTTCCCTAATACTGTACTGATATTGTAACCTTTGCTTTATAAATATTCCACATCCTCCTCCACTTCCCTCCTGCCGATCTCTTCTTACACTGTCATCTAATTTGATCACCAGATCTAATGTTGTTTTTAACAAGGTTTCCTGAACACATCTGATTTCTGGTTTATCCTTTAGCAATTAAATTTCTTGCATGCCATTGTAATATTAACATGTACTACATTCACCTGATGGTCCTGGTCTCCCATCTACTTCCAACTTTCTATTTATGTTCTCCTATGATGCCCCTTTAAACCCAAAAACCCTTTCAGCTCCTCTCATTATCATTTAAATCTCAGTTTTATGCTTGGCTTGCTCTGTACAGTTAATGACATATGCTACGGATAATATTAATTGTTTTACTGATATTGTGATATTTTCCTCTGACTGTACTTTGTCTTGCTGTGGAATTTGACTCGTTGTTTGCTCACTCTCTCTTGTTCCTTTAAATTTTTAAATGCGTCTGCATATCTCCAGAACTGGAGAGCTCCTTCAGTGACAGACTGCTGCACCATAAATGTACCAGGGAGTGTTATCACAGATCCTTCCTCCCAGCAGCTCTAAGACTCTATAAATACCACTGCTCCCAACAACCTCAATAAGTTTTTACATTCCTGCTGATTTTTGCAGTTTCTATCTTAGTCAGTTAAATAACATGCTGCTGTCATTTTGCAAATCTCTGATGTTGCTGGTATTTTCAAATATATCCATTACTGTAAAAATATTCATAGCTGTATATTGGTTATTTATTCTCCAGGTGCACAGCTTTTATATTGTTAAAACACTTTACAGTATTTTTTTGTTTATCTTTTAACTATTGTTATTCTTAAAAGGTCAACATTTGTGTGACCATTTTTTCTATAAACTTTTTGTTGCTGTTAACACCAATAAATTGATTTTCTATTCTATAGCTTATGTTTTAGTCATTTTATTCTGTATGATTTTCTTTACCCCCTCCCTTACTTCACATCCTCCATACATAGCTCTATATTGCTACATTTTTCTTGCACTTCTTTAAATTCTTCAAACTTGTGATGTTCACCATATTTTGGACAGGCTGAATTATCTCCAATGAGCTTCTCAATTATCTTCATCGTGTTTTTAATCAGGCATTGATGCAGCCACCAAAAACACACCTACTGCACCGTTTTATAACCTCAATCCAAAACACCCCTCAAATCAGAGTATTTTACTGCAGCACTGTGATCAGCAAACATACATAGTAAACCTCTGATGGTTCATACCTATTCGCTGTAGCTTTATTTGTGGGTTCCAGTAGATTTCCAACAGTTTTCTGTGGCGATCCAGCTCCTCCTCGTATTTAACGATGGTTTTATCAAACTCTGCGAATATTTCTTCAGCAGCAGCGGTCAGTCGCTCCGAAATAAAATGTCTCAGAGACTGAGCCGAAGACATATTTGCTGCAAAGGCACAACCCAAACCTGAAATCAAACAAAGCTACAGCTAACTGCTAGCGAACACGGGGATCCTTTCTGGTTTATTGAAGGCTCACACTCGCCCCCTGCTGGACAAAAGGAGAATGTCACCAGAGCATGTTTACAGTGAATTGTTTGGTAAATAACCTGACACCTTTACACAGAGACAGGCCCTTTGAAAGTATCACATGATGTTTATTTGTGGAGATAGATTTTTTTTTTAACCTTCAACAGATAAATACAGGGAAATGCAGTGTTCCTTTATAATCAAACCCTAAATTCAAAAATTGTAAATTCTATTCTCAATTTACTTTAATGGAAAAGTATACAATGAGTCTTTGTATGATGCAGCAGCAAATAAGCTTTTGAAAACCTGAGAAAATCAATGTTTATAAAAAGATAGCGCTAAAAAGAGCTTTATTTTATCTTGTCAGCTCAATTTGGACAGCAGTATTTTTTTTTCTATTTTCCCCATCACCTTTAACTGCATTACAGTTAAAGCGTCCCCTTAGTGAGAGGGGAAGCTTGGATTTACTGCAGGTTTGGGTTTATTACTATTCCCCAGTATGATGATTTGCCACTGAGGCATAATATGACATGATGTGACTATGTATAGCTCCAACCTTGGCACTACTTATGTAAAATCTTTATTTTCTTAGTACTAAAGCGATTACAGCGGTAAAGTTACTGTATATTTACATTAGGTCCTTCTTGATCAGCGTTTCCCAGACTTTTTTGACTTGTTTTCCCCTTTAGGCAATTTTTCGTACCATGAGTTCCCTTCTCAGTAAAAAGTATTGATGATTTTCCAAAAGTGGAACATACAATAACCAAAAAAAAAAAAAAAGACTATTTTACTTTAATTTGCACATTTTTAAAAATAAATGTATGATTTCCTTCTTAAAAAAACAAATATGTTGCCTGGAAATTAGTAAGGGATCAAAATAAAATCATATTATTAACCTGTATTTATAAAATTAGAGCCACCATTATTCCGGTCCCAAAGAAGCCTCAGGTCACCTCACTCAATGATGACCGGCCTGTCGCGCTGACTCCAATCATGATGAAGTGCTTCGAAAGGCTGGTTAAAGAACACATCGTCTCCAGTCTGCCGCCAACATTCGACCCATTCCAGTTTGCCAACCGACGAAACTACTCCACCGAGGACGCCATCTCTACTGCTCTCCACCTGAGCCTGGCACACCTGGAGGAGAAGAACACACATGTGCGGAGGTTGTTCTTGGACTTAGTTCAGCTTCCAACACTATCATCCCACAGCATGTGATGGGCAAACTGAAACAGCTGGGATTCAATACACCCCTCCGCAATTGGATGCTAGACTTCCTCACCAACAGACCTCCGTTAGTACGGGTCGGACAGAACATCTCTGATGTCATCAGTTTAAGCACAGGCTCCCCTCAGGGCTGCGTCCTGAGTCTCCTGCTGTTCACCCTGATGACACACGACTGCGTCCCCAGGTTCACCACCATCGTGAAGTTTGCAGAGGACACCACGGTGGTGGGCCTCATCAGAGACGACAACGACCTGGACTACAGAGAGTTGGTGGAGCAGCTGGTGGACTGGTGCAAAGATAACAGCCTGATTTTGAACGTGGAGAAGATGAAGGAGATCATCTTGGACTTCAGGAAAACCCGGCCTAACCACGCTCCACTGGTCATCAACAGCTCAGCTGTTGAGGTGGTCAACAGCACCAAATTCCTGGGGGTGCACATTACAGACACCCTCACCTGGGATGTAAACACCACCTCACTGGTCAAAGGGGCACAGAAGCGCATGTACTTCCTGCGGAGGATGAGGAGAACCCACCTTCCCCCACCCATCTTCACCACCTTCTAAAGAAGCACCATAGAAAGCGTTCTGACCAGCTGTCTAACTGTGTGGTGTGGAGGCTGCAGCGCCTCAGACTGGAAGAAAGTAAGGAGATTGGTGAGAACAGCAGAGAAGATCATCGGGGATCCTCTTTCCTCTATTAAAGGCATTTCATCCCAGCGCTGTGTGTCCCGAGCCCGTAACATCATTAATGACTCCTCACATCCCCACCGTGGACTGTTCTCCCTGCTGGTGTGAGGTGTGACCAAAAGTGGAAAAAGATAAGTCAGCCAGCAGCATTAATTAAAAATCATGTGTTATGCAGAATATATTTGTACAATAATCTTCAGACACCATCAGTAAAACCTTTAATCCAAACAGAAGCAAAACAAAAATACATATATGTTTATCCTAGCCTTAACATTCCTCTTGCTGTTTTTTTGGCAATTTTTAAAATCTAAAAAACTTGACAAAATTCAAAAGAATAACCTGTTGAGTTTTCATATCAAGGGTCCTACATGAGTGAGGCTTTTATCATGTGATTTCTGGTGTGATGAAATAAAGAACTCCTTTCACTAAACTCTTGTCCACATATCAGACTCACGTTCGATGTCACTTCCATGAGATTGCATGTGATAAGTGAAACACAATTGATCACTAAAACGTTTCCCACAGGTCAAACAAGAGAAAGGGCTCTCACGTGTGTGAGTTCTGATATGGCGTGTCAGATTAAATCGCTGAATAAAACTTTTTCCACAAATTGAACATGAGTGAGACCTCTCACCTGTATGGATTTTAATGTGCCTAAACAAAGTTCCTTTTTGAGAAAACCGTTTTCCGCAAGTCAAACATATGAAAGGCTTCTCACCTGTATGAGTTCTAATATGGTCAGTTAAAGTCCCCCTAACAACAGATTTCCCACAAATGTTACAAGACGACAGATTCCTATTAATGTTTGTTTTCTGCTGTTTTGTTAAACTTGGACTGTGTACATCATCACTCTGACCACTGATTGTCTGATGCCCATTATTCTTTTGTGTTTCTTTCCTTGATTTTGTGTCATAATGATCTATCTCTTCCTGAATTTGGTTATCAGCATCAGATGATGTTTGGACAAGGAGGTGGTCCACATCTGGGTCTGGTTCCCTGTGGACTCTTTCCTCATAAGAAGGAATTTCCATAAAATTATTTGTCATCTGCTTCATTTCAAGCTGCTCTTCCTCTAGACCAATAAAGAGTTCCTCCTGTTCACCCTTTATTTGTAGAAGTTGCTGTTGTTCCTGTTCCTCTTTGATATGACAAAATTCTTGTTCATCTTGCTTTTCTTGCATCTGTTCAGGTTCTAGATCTTCAAGGCTCTCCATCGTTTGGAACGGTTCTGGTTCCTCTTGATGCAAACCTGAGTTATCCTGATTGTAGACCTGCTGATCCCTTAAATCCTCTTGGTTTCTCCAGAAACGATGCTGTGGGAGGTCTAAACAGAAAAGAGAAATAAAATTTGAAAGGGATGAAACAAAAGAGAATCCGTGTATCATTCGTTCTTTCTATTTTCAATTGCCAATCAAAAAACAAAAAATAAAAAATTGACTGGTTATTTTGTTTTTTGTTTTTTATGGTTAAACCAAAAACGAAAAAAGGATTTGTTTTTCATATATCAATTCTAAGCTCAGATCAAGAATACGAAATGGAAAAACGGACAGCAACGCATAATTTGATTTTAATATTTAATCGGTACAGTTTACGTGACCCGGAAATAGCTCTTTGCGCAGCAGTTGGGGTAATGAAGTGGTTACCATGGCGACGCTAGAACCATACACTATGTTGATCGAGAAGCTGTTTGTTGTTGCTAGTTAAAAGTACAGTGCACAGAAAAGTTTCAAGACAAAAGTTATACCTGGAAAATCCTGCTGATTTTCTCCGTTGTCATGTCCTCCTCCTTAAGAGTCACACGCTTGGATCCTCGAAATAACACGTAACTGTCCATGGCTGATAGGTCCGACTGCCTTATCTGGTGCAGCTTGATCGAACGTGGTGGGGGTAAGCCAATTGTTTTTTTAGCTAACGCTCCACCAAACTTCCGGGTCACGTAAACTGTACCGATTAAATATTAAAATCAAATTATGCGTTGCTGTCCGTTTTTCCATTTCGTATTCTTCATCTGAGCTTAAAATTGATATATGAAAAACAAATCCTTTTTTCGTTTTTGGTTTAACCATAAAGAACAAAAAACAAAATAACCAGTCAATTTTTTATTTTTTGTTTTTTGATTGACAATTGAAAATAGAAAGAACGAATGATACACGGATTAAAGAGATCTCACTTTCTTTTTCTTTTCTTTTTTAAATCGAAATATGAAACAGACTCCTCAGATTTTCAAATAAACCTCCACAGATCTATACTTTAAAGTATAAAAAATGGTAATCGTAGTAGACAACTGTATGGTCAGCTGTTTGGAGGAACAGCTCATTGCTCAATTAAAAAGCCAGATGCTATTCTCTCCTTTATAGATAATTAGGTATCAATTCAGCCTAGCCAAAGAAATACAGTCGGCACCTAAATTTAACTAAGAAAATAAGTATTAGCCTCCAATTAGATAATTTCTGAACGGGCAGTCATCTCTTAGCTTCCAACACGGTATTAAAATCCAGTGGATGCAATGAGTATCTTCTAATGTCCTAAACAGCCATGTCCAAAGACTCATTCTGTCAATTCGTTAAACGATGATACAGCTGAAAACATTAACAGAGAATGCAGAAACTAAAAATGAGGTAAGAACTGTCCATGGCTTTTATTAAAACTGGAGGGAGTAGGGAACCATCATCCTTCAGGAAGTAATGTGGCTAAAGTAAAATACTGAATGATTAGTGTTCACACAAACGTTTTGCTAAATTAACTTGAAGAAAAACAACCAAAGACCTCTGAGGTATGTTTAACAGTGAAAGTACAAAGGGAACTCAAGAGATTGGGACTTAAAAGTCCCTCAATCATGCCTCATGCCCAGGTCTCTGTTATTATGCCTTCCTTCCTGCCTTACCTTCTCCTCCAGCTCAGAAACTCAGCCTAGCATGGCACACTCAGGTAAATTAAATAATAAAATCATATTATATGACACAAGTACCTGAAGCATCTCAAACTCAATATCTGTAAATGTGTTTCAATAATGTTTTACATGATAAAGGTCCACTTAAAAATGTAACTCTGTGGAAAGAAAATTCATTAGATTATGTTAGAGTTAATAGGTTTTATAATTATACAGTGGTGGAAAATAACCATTATAATTTATAGTGACATTGACGCAAAGTTTGATGTTTTAAAAAATAAATTCAATTGAGAAGTTCAGACTATTTTATGCAGATGGAATTGTATAGATAGCATCGTGCAAAGACCTACATTTGGGATATCACGCCATACAACTGTGCGCTGCCATTAAAGTAAGGGTAAACAAATGCGTCGTAAGGACTAGTTTCGACTGTAAATAGAAAGGCCTACTGTAAAATTTGTCCAGTCAGCTGGTACATGGTTGTTTTTGTAAACAAACCAGGGGTCCACAGGATAGATCATAATACACATTATCAAAGACCAATCCTTTAAAATACTAAATAATAATAATATACTATGTATAAATATATATTTGTAAAACATAATATTATAATGTATCCATATAAAACTTTGTTTATCATATTAATATTTATTTGCAAATATATAACTTGCATATATCTCATTGAATTAAGTTTAAATACTTTTAATCTGAATAAATATGTGTAATATAACGTAAATGTTATTTTAAAAATTGTTTCGTTCTTTTAAGGGGTTGTGACATGTAAGATTATTGTCGTATTATCTCTGACTCGTCTTTCATGTGATTAAAATGAGATCTAAGGGTCTCCTATTCATTCTGACAGCAGCTGTCTGAACTGTGGTCCGATCCAAGATGGCCGGCCTCTAGGCACGTCGGCGACGCTGCCGACAGCGTCCAATGAACCGTCTACGTCTGTCTGTGTGTAGCACAACTTTAAATCAGGCATGAATGCAGCCACCAAAAACACATTTACCAAAACACCTCTCAAATCAGAGGATTTTACTCTACCACCGTGATTAGTAAACACACATAGTAAACCTCATACCTATTCTCTGTAGCTTTATTTGTGGGTTCCAGCAGAATTCCAACAGTTTTCGCTGGCGATCCAGCTCTTCCTCGTACCGAACGATGGTTTTATCAAACTCTGCGAATATTTCTTCAGCAGCAGCGGTCAGTCGCTCTGTGATAAAATGTCTCAGAGACTGAGCCGAAGACATTTTTGCTGCAAAGTCACAAATCAAACCTGTAATCAAACAAAGCTACAGCTAGCTCTGCTGACGAACACAGTGATCCTTTCTGGTTTATTGAAGGCTCACAATCGCCCCCTGCTGGACAAAATAATAATCACACGAGTGCAAACTGTATTTTTTTGTCAATAAAACCAAACTTTTGCATGTTTTTGCCACGAGACAAACCTTTTGAAAGTATCACACGAATGTTAGGTACAGAAATGCGTCACTTTTTAAAGAAATAGATACAGAGAAGTGCAGTTTTCAATCCTGTGAACCTTTGAAATTTTGGTTTATATAAAACTAAAGATTTTGATATTTTTGCATACTACTCCCACTTTTTTTAAATATCTGTTAGAGACTATTTTTCAAAACACACCTCGACAGGAAACATAGCGCTTCATTTTGACAGATATGAATGAACAGGAGCAAAGAATAGGGCTGTTCCCCCAGGCCTGAAACTGGTGGTGGAGTGGAGATAGATGAAGTTGGTCAGTCTGTAGACTGCTTGGTAGCGAGACGGTATGCTGAGCTTTATGGGGAGATCCAGTGGACTGTATGAGCTGATACTAGAGCTTCACTCAGGGACCTGGAAGATGGAAGTCCAGTTGGATAACACAGGTTGAGAGAACCTGTCGATGATGAGCAAGCATGGAGTGACAGTGGATAGGAAAAACTCCCCGTTGGGAAGAAACCTCTGGCAGAACCAGGCTCAACATGGTGGTCTTTTACCGGACTGGTTAAGATGAGACAGGAAATGCAGTAAGAGTCTGGGAGGAATGACATTCTAATGAAGCTTTAGCTACGATGGTGGAGGAGGGGCTGGAGGTGGGTTGAAACGGTGTCCTCTGAATGAAGTCACACAGCACATCCACCGCCTGCGCACAGGAGCAGACAGGTGCGTATTGGAGGCCTTTTAAGATGAACTTTGGATGCCGATTGGCTTTCGTGGAGGTTTGGTTCAAAGCTGATTGGATAAAGGAAAACAATGAGTTTCTTAAATTGAATTTCTGCCTAGACTCCATTACTCATCAATAATGTCATCGAAACAGGGCTCTACCACAATTATTAAACATCTGCCTCCATTACTCCATAAACACAGTGGATATGTCACTGGTGTTAGGTCCCTTTAAGTTTAATTAAGTAGGTAAGTAAGTTGGTGCCAAACATGTAATTATTTTGCATCATCATGTTTTTAACTACTTTTTCATTTAGTGTAGATTTTACATTTCTACCCAACATATTGTACAGCATTGAGACTTTTTTGTTGAGAAAAGTTAACAGCTTCCATACAGAGCAGTTGTCCGATTTCTGTACACCTTTCAAAACAGGGTTTATATCAGCATGCTAAGCCTAAAAACAATGTATGAACTGCAATCCATCTTAATAAAAAAAAAGAATACTTGTACTTCCACATTATGAATTTTTATTGTAAAGTGGAAAAAAGACTACACTCATGACAATACAGAGTGGAATAAAGGTGACAACCACAGGGGGCATGAACAAATAAAAGCCAATGTAATGATATAAAAGATGTAGAAAGATACAAGTAAATCTATACAATGTATGTGTAAAAAAATATATCGGCAAAATCTCTTATATCCAACAACAGTGAAAAAAATTGTTAAATTGTGCAAAATAGCAATAAAAAAATTAAAACATAATTAAAAAAATTAAAGAAAAGCTTTTCAATAGTAAATTAGATAATTAAATAAATATATAAACATTGACAAGGAACAACTACTACACTGAAAAAGATTAAGAATTAAGAATGACATTCAGACAGAAAAGCATAGTCTTTTAGCACTGGTGGTAGACATTTTCTTTAAGGACAAAGAAAATATATTAATTTCATTAAATGCTATGATTATAGGAAGGGTTTTGGTAAGATGATATGTGTGTATTTTTTCATACACAAATGTCATCTGGTCATAATAATTATATATATTTAATTACAATTTTTTTTTTCTTGGGCAAGAATATCCAATTTCATTGCAGAGAAAATCGATACTTAAGGATCTAAAGAGTAACCAGTTATGAACTGAGGATAAAAATGCCTGGGTTTTACTATAATTAACGATAAAATAAAAGATGTTCAGTTAATTCCTGTTATTGCTTGCATAGACCACTTTTGTCTACAGTGGTTTTAAAATTGGAGCTCCTGAATTGGTTATAAGGATAAATGTCATTTAAAGTTTTGAAATGAATTTCTTTATATATGGGCAGAATAGCTAATTTTAGATATTTGGTTGTCAATGCACGGATATAATTTTTGGGGTATTTTTTTAATAGGAAAAGTCTTTTAATTGGATTATGATATATTTGTTGACACTTTTCTTATTATTGATTGATTTTCTCATATTGATTCCTTCAATAAACTCATTATTGATAGGGAGTGGAATATTACTGAGGCGACCTTGAAATAAATTGATCGATGTTTTTGGAATATTATTTATAATTTGTCCATATTCCTGGTATAAGAATTAGGCATTATATTTATTATATAAAGCATGCATGGTTAGGTTTAGGGTTAATCTGGCCTTCAGAGGACGCAGCACCTGAATTTGAACTCAGCAAAATAAGAAAACAATGTATAAAGTTAGCAATAGATGATGACTGGAAGATCTTAAAGTCGCCCCTGAGAAATGATAAACAATAGTGTTTGTGAACATTACACGATCACACCTACTGCTCACCAGAGTGAGTTTTCATGTGCTCAGCCAGGTCTTTACTTTCAGAAAAACATGAGCCACAAATTGCACAAAAACTAATTTCCACATTTCTGTGACTTTTCATATGAAAAGTCAAACTACCATTCTGACTGAAGCTTTTTCCACAGATCTGGCACGAGAAAGGCCTTTCCCCAGTGTGAATCCTCTTGTGGTAACATAAACCTGCTCTGTTACTAAAACTTAGTCCACAGATGCGACATAAGAACGGTCTTTCGCCTGTGTGAGTTCTCATATGATCACACAAGCTACTTCTTAGCGTGAAAGTTTTTCTACAGATCGTACATGAGAAAGGCCTCTCACCTGTGTGGGTTCTCATGTGACAGATCAAATGAATTTGCTGGATGAAACCTTTCCCACAAATCACACATGAAAAAGACTTCTCACCTGTATGTGTTTTTACATGTCTTGACAAGTTCCCTCGCTCACTAAAACGTTTTCCACAGGTCAAACAAGAAAAAGGCCTTTCCCCTGTGTGAGTTCGAATGTGCTGATTTAAATAAGTACGGGCAAAATATTTACCACAAAATTTACAAGACATTTTATCATTCATGTAAGTTTTTTTCTGTATTCTTACTTCTGGACTGTCTGCATTCTGAATGTGACCTTGGACTTTTGAAGATTTCACATTGTGTTCAATTTCTTCATCTCTACTTGATCCTGACTCTTCATGATTGCTAACTTCTTGAATTTGACTATTTTGTTCAAAGATCTGATCCCAGTTGGGTTTGTGTTTTCTTTGCTCCTTTTTCTTGTAGGTAAGATTTACCATACCAATATCAGTCTCCTGCTCTAATTCAAGATGCTCTTTCTCCAGACTGACACAGACTTCATCTTGTTCATCCTTCATAGGTGGTAGTTCCGGTGCTTCCAGGTCATTTTTAACACAGATATTTTTTTGTTCATCTTCGTTGTCCTGCATGTGTGGAGGTACTACTTCTTCCTGTTCATCTTTCATTCGTAGCAGCTCAGGTTTTCCCTGTTTCTCTTTAGTTTGAGGCTTTTCCTCCTCTTCGTGGTTCTCAATTGGCTGAGGTTCAGGCTCCTCTTGGTGCAAACTTGAATTCCGCTGATGGTTGTGGAGTTGCTGCTCAGTAAAAGCCTCCTCCTCCCTCTGGAAATCACGGAGGTCTGTATAGGCAAAATAAAAATGAAAAAAAAAAACAACAAAAAATGGTGATCAATGTGACTATGAGAAAGAAATTAGCAACATTTATAACATTGCTTCACATAGTGGTACAATGTATTTAAGCTTAAAACACATTCAGTTCTCAGTTTAGATATTTCTAGTATTTCCGCAGATAAAAAATTCACATCAGATTTCTTTAACAACCTAAACCACATTAAGAAAAATGACTCAGAAAGCAGCTGGAATCATATAGTGTATTAATAACATGATCACTGCTCTGTTTAAATATAAGAAATGAGCCAGATATGGATGAAATGATGACATATGAAATATTTTGATTACCTGCATTATTAATCCATAAACCATTAGAGCAGATTTTTCCCTTGTGTGATTTTTGACAGAAATCATAAATTTCCAGGAACCTATGCTGCCGATCCAGCTCTTCCTCGTACTAAACAATGGTTTATTTGTATTTTATGATTGTGAATAGCACTTGAGTCCTGTTGGGTGTTGAAAGTGATTTATAAATACATTTGTTATGGTATGGTACAAAAGCTGAATAAACAATCTAAATAGTTTTTTTTCAAGAAACAAGGATCAGTAGCAGAGAGCTACAAAGAAACCAGGAAATATTAGGTATACATTTTCTATAAATAAATACACCCAAATGCACCCCCCACTCTTACTTTGCATGATTCCCCATCTAAACAAAGCAAGTGGAAGTTTGCTAAAGTTTTGCTCAAGTAGACTTGGGTGCAATTACACTGGGCAATTATAATCTGATCAGAAGAGGTCAAAGCTGCATTCTCAATGTCATTGCACACATATTATTTGGAGGGAGGATTGTGGTGTACATAACCTCCCCAAAAAAACATGATGCATATTGGCACATTACAGCCTGTGTTGTTTTAGATCATATAACTTGATATAAAAAACAACCAAACAAACAAAAAGGCTGTAACATTAAAGCAGCAAAAGATGCTGTTCATTGCTTACATACTGTAGGTCTGTATTCAATAGAAAATTTATATAATTAACTGGAAATCAGAGAATGAAAGACTTCCGGGTTTTTAAGTTTGTGTGGAAGCATTGCTCAATGTTTAAATAATGATTGTTTGATTTCCATGTGTAAATCCAAGAATAATCTCATTAAATTGTAACATGCATTTGCATACATGTTACAATATAAGTAGGTTCTGCTGATCCAGCTGTTGGTCTATGTAAAAGACAATGGC